CACTCACTCACTATCACGAGAACAGAATGGGGGAAACAACCCCGTGATTCAATTAACTCCACCTGGTGGCTCCCTTGACACGTGGGGATTATGGGGATTACAATTCAAGATGAGATTTTGGGTGGGGACAGAGCCAAACCATACCAAGCGTTTTTTGTTGTTTCTTCAGTAGTAGTGCCAAATGCTTTTTAAAGTTAAGCATGGTTCTTATAAGAATATGGAATGAAAACGTGAGAAATGTTTAACTCATTAATAGAGAACGCCAGAGTGGTAAAAGAGCATTAGAATAACTGAGTACTTATGACCCAAGAAAAAAGAATTTGGGAATCAAGTTGCTAGGTTAAATACAAAACTGGTTAACGTTCTTCAGGGCAATAAAGTCAAAAACCTTTGGGGTTATCTTTTCTACCAGACAGAATTCGTTGCATCTCCTCTGGACAAAAATCTACAAGTTACATGCAACCTCACAGAGGCTGGGCCCTAATCAAGGGTAAATAGAAAATCAAAGGTACACACACTGCCCCCTGAGAGAATTAAGCAGTTGCTGAGTGAGTCTGCTGGCATGATACTGAAATGACATGCAAATCCTTTTGCTTTATTTTTAAGTATTGGATGATTTTTTTTTTTTGACAAAAGATAAAAATTCACATATTGGCAGCTGCAGCTTTCTAGTTTCCAAATGGAGTTTGCTCTTAAAATTAATCTGCTTTTCATCATCTTTTTGTGCCTGTTTTTAATGAGAAAAATGACCACCAAGCAATGTGGGCATTGTAATAATATTCCATTATATTAAAATGTACTTTAACATTGTTTTGATACTCACTCTGCTGGGTACTAAAACATTTTATGAACAATTTAAATTTTGTATCAGGACCAAAAAAAGAAGAAAAAAAAAGTCTACATATCTGCTGTGAGTTGATGCCAGCAGCACATTGATACCCATTGCAGTTTTAAATATTTATATGGACTTTGGACATAACCTTGCACAAGTTACTGAATTTCTTAGCTTCATCCTCTATGCAAAGTGAGACCTTCACTGAACTGCCATATGTGTGATTTTGCGATGACACATATAAACCTGGGATTACACTGTTGTGTTCCTATTTTACTATTACATGCATATTCATAATGTTTCAGTGCTTTCTTATAGGTTGCTTGTTTTACAATTTGTCTTGCTACATGATGTGGTTTTTGTACCTTCCTGTGATTTTAAAAAGGATAAACTATGTGTTTTAATTGTATCAATTGCTTTGTTTTTCCGAAAACAGAAATAACTATACTTACCATCCTTCTTTCCTTTCTGTAGAGTGAAATGGTGTCCTTTGTGGTCCCCTAACATTAGATGTGAAATTTAACAAATCTCCCTCTCCCTCTCTTACCAACCGCCATTTTAAATTATGGGCATTCTATTATCACAATTTACTGTTACATTTTGAGAAATACAGAAAACACTAATGTGAATTGATGCAGAAATTGTTAAAAATGACACACCTACCTTACACAGCAAATAGGCTTTTCCCTATGCTCTTGAAAAGCTATACCACGTTTGTCAACAATTTGTTCAGCACAGCGATATGTTAACCTAAACCAGAGTATTAGTTAGTTAACCTAAACATATTGCTGTGCTTAACAAATTGTTGACACTAAACACTAAATAAATTCAGCATCAGTTTCAGGCTGAGATGAGCTCTCTGATTTACTCAACACATTTGTAGAGAACATCACGAGACAAACTGGAATTGTGCCACATATTTGGATGAATCCAGAAGTAGCACCTTTTAAAACTCTTAGATCTGTTTTGTGCATGAGCTGTTATGTTGTGTTGTGTTGTGTTGTTTGTTTTTTGAGATGGAGTCTCACTCTGCCACCCAGGCTGGAGTGCACTGGTGCAATCTTGGCTCACTGCAACCTCTGCCTCTCAGGTTCAAGCAATTCTCCTGCCTCAGCCTGCCAAGTAGCTGGGACTACAGGTGTGTGCCACCATGCCCGGCTAATTTTTTGTATTTTTAGTAAAGACGGGGTTTCACCACGTTAGCCAGGATGGTCTCGATCTCCTGACCTCGTGATCCACCTCCCTCAGCTTCCCAGTGCTGGGATTACAGGCATGAGCCACCATGCCTGTAAGCTGTTATGTTTTTGAAGCACTCTCATGTTTAGTCATTAATTTGCATACAAGTTTTTCTGTGTTATAACTTTATTAAGTGCAGTTTGCATGCAAGACCAGAATATCCAAAAACCTTGAAAATGGTGCAGAAACTCTGAATATACCTTCACACCATTGAACTGTACAGTTTAAATGGGTGAACTATATGAAATGTGAATTATATCTTAATAAAACAAAAAACTAGCATAGTAAACATTCATGCTCAGCCTAGGCAATATTATGAAACCCCATCTCTACAAAGTATACAAAAATTAGCTGGGCATGATGGCGCATGCCTATAGTCCAAGCTACTTAGGAGATTGAGGTGGGAGAATCACCTGAGCTCAGGGAGGTCAAGGCTGCAGTGAGCTGTCATCATGCCACTGCAATCCAGCCTGGTCAACAGAGTGAGACCCTGTCTCAAAAAAGAAAAAAAAAAAATCCATGCTATTACGGTTTATACACAAACTTTAGAGTTAAATTTTTAAGGGAGCTAGACTTGGCAGAAAGGAAGACATTGAGACGAGAATCAGTGTAAACGCTGGGTGGTAGGTAGGGTTGAACTATATCATGCCCATCGAGAGACAGTTAAGACCTGCAAAATGGCAGGGAGCCAAGACTACATTTAGGATTGAGAGTATAGAGAAGCCAGTGAAAAACAGAAAACCAAAAAGACAGAGCAAAAGAGCAGAAGATAATGACTAAAAGCTGACTTGGATATTTGCTTTGCTATCATAAAGTAAATCCATGGATTTTATTCAGTTCCAGATTTCAGAAAAAAACAAATAGCTCCACACTTTTCAACTACCGTTAGGAGTCATTTTTCTAAACTTAAAAGTAACTTAAATCCATTTTATCCTATCTTACCTCACTTTGTGAAAGAGAAATAACAAACAACAATTCTGTTTTTATAGAGAAAAAAACTGGAAAACATTTTTCTAGGAGAAAAAGGAAATAAATACTGAGATGGGGAATTATGAATGATAATGAATATCTTTCAAAGTAAATATCAAAGGTATTATTTGGTCAGTCAGAAACTAAGAATCCGAATAATGCCTAAAGTTTCAACGCTCAACAAGGTAAATGAATTATTCTTTAGTTATTTCCCATAACACGACAAAATGAGTGTGTGGGCCTCCAGTCAGCAAGTGCTGATTCAGAACTTCGGTAACATTTTTTTTAACTGATAAAGGATGAAGAAATTTTGAATAAAATCTAACAAACCACATGAAAATTTTAAACAATTTTTCCTTTTCGTATTCCATCTGATCTCAGTCAGGAGTAAAGAGAATATGAGTCAAGAAAAAATAAAAAAAGTTAAGCATTAAGCACTTGCTACTCTGGGTGTCATGGCTTAAAGGTCTCCCTCCCAAGGCCTAGGGAACTTGCTTTTTTAAAAGTTTTCCTAAAAGGGATTTTTCTACATTTCCATGCAAGTTTATATATATATATATATACACATATATATATATATATATATATACACATATATATATATATATATACACATATATATATATATATATATATATATATATACATACATACACACACACACACACACATATATATATTTTAGATTTCCAACAAATAGAAAGGTAAACCATTTTGGAAAATGTGAATAATTCTAGAAACAGAGACTGTTTCTAGGCCATCAAACCTGATTTCCTCTTAATATTCACTTACCTACAGCACAAATTCTCCATGTATTTTGCCAGATATTACTTATGAGCTTCAAACAAGGCAATTACTTTTCTGCTTCATGAGAACACTCAAACACATAAAAATATTTTAAGGCTGCTGCTGCTGATTGCATCTGAGGCCACAGAAGTGACTCTGGAGACACGAAGCAAAGACGCTTTCCTTTCTCCTGATTAGGGTAATTTCCACCACAGAACAGCTTTTCGATAGCAGTAAAAAACTAGTTTGGGAGTGAGGCAGGAGAATTGCTTAAACCTGGGAGGCAGAGTTAAAAAAAAAAAAAAAAAACAAAAAAAAAAAACAAACTAGTTTGGGAGATCTGAGATGCAGGGTCTAAATCTTTGGAAACCAAACAATAAAAACCAAAACATGTAGATGGCATATGGCTGGCTCTGGCTCGCTTTCCCTTCCAAGTTCTTCCCAGTTTTTGATAGCCTCATCAGGGCCTAATTGTTTGTTGGCAGCACCCAAATAAAAGAGATTTTTTTTTCAAAGCTTTATATTTACTAAGTGCTTTTTGTATAATTTCCTCACCTCTCTACACATTTCTACCCAATCACCAAATTATTATAGAAAGATTTCAACAGTGCTTGGCTTATAGTATTCAGTAAATGTTGATGATAACTGTCATTATCCAGAGACAGAAAACTATGTTCAATATTTAAATCATAAAGCATTTTATCAATGATTACTTGAAAAAATCAAGTGTAATTCTTTCAAATTATTCTCTTGTAGGACATGTTTATTTTTAAGCCTAAATGTTATGTCGCTGTAGCCTAGCATATAAAATAGCCTTACTCTCAAAGCCAATACTAGGGGGAGAAAATGGACAGGGACTAACTAGATTAAAAGAACTGAGAGAGACATAAAAAAAAAAAAATGCAATGAAACTTATTTTCTCTAGATCCAAATAAAAATCTACACACTTTGGAATACAGGCTGGAATGGCTATCATTACAGAATTACTTATTTTATTAGGTATTATAATGGTGTTGCGGTTATAAAGGAGGATGTCTTCAATTTCAGAAAATGTAGGCTGAAATATTCAGAGGCGAAGTACTGTGATCTCTGAACCTTATTTTCAAAGGGTTCAGCAAAAAGTTGTATGTTTAAATACAGAGAAAAAGCAAATGTGGCACAACGTTAACAACCAATGAATCTAAATGAAGAGTTTGTATTTCATTATACTTTCAACTTTTCTGTAGATACAACATTTTTAAAATAAAAAGTTGAGAATAAAAAAAAATCACAAAAACAGTTTTACTGAAGAAAACACCACACATTCCTTTTTACTGTAATAATATACACATACACATTGGTATTTATACTTCATTAAAAAAACCACTAAACCTGAAATTAACTACCTTAAACACATTAACTTTCAGTGCTAATGTATTAATTTCTTAAATACAAATCAAAATAGCTCAATATCTATTTTAAATTACTGATAACTAGATGCAGATGTAAGGAATTAAGTTAAAAATTTCAATTTTTTTCAACATTTCTTCTTTGTTTTTCTTCTTTGTCTAGAATAGTCTGTTTTAAGCTCAAAGTAGCATCTTGAAATCCGGGATTTAAGTCTAATACCTTCTTGAAATCTTCCAAAGCATCATCAAAATATCCTGTACCAGAACCCAAAAAATGGAAAAGAGAAAATACACTGAGTATTTCTATATATTATTCATGGCAACGATTTGATACACATACTTTTGCTTTTATATTTATCTATGAGCCTTCAATCACTTCTAGTAAAGGAATTTTTTTATCTTAATGATAATATAGAGATGTGTTTTGTGTGCCCTTAGGGAATAATACACCTAAAATTAGCTATGGGTTTATTTATTGAGATTTAACAGGTAAATATTAGCAATCATCTTAAAATTTTAACAAAACTGTATAGCCTGTTTTACATAATTGCAGTAACATTAAGAAACAGGAAACCAATTTTCTTTTTGACACTTTATTTGAGAAAGAGTACCTATGGTTCCTTTAATCCAAGAATCTAAACTTCACTTTCTATTGTCTTATAAGTCTTTGAAGATTTTAACTCAGAAAAATTTCACAGGTGATCATCTGAATTGCCCTCATTTTGCAGCTGGGAATGCACAAGCACAAAATAATGGGGTCACCCTGACTCCTGTGCCCGGGTCCAATTCCCACCCCAGTGCTCTGCTGTGATCTATAACGCCTATCAAAAGCCTAAAATAAACTCAGGAGGCTTCCTTTGTTCCAAGCTCTAAACCTAAATTTCACATAACTTTAAAACTTAATTAGCATGTTAGTTTTACAATATTTGAGATCTCTGAAATAACAATACAGTCAATAACAAAAGCCAAAAAGAAAAAAAATTCTTACCCAGCCTATACAGTATCAACCCTCTGTTGTAATATGGAACTTCAAAATTGGGCTGTACTTCTATGGCAGATGTGTAGTCATCCATGGCTTCATAAAAATCAACCCTGAAGTACTTGATTTGCCCCCTGTTGTTATATGCAGTAGCCAAATCCTCAGGGCTGCATTTGCTTTAAACAAAAAGTTCACATTAAAAACAACGTGTTACCAAATTCCTCTCATTCCCACTTTCATTCTCTTTTGGGTACTGTCAAACTTCACAGCCTATAACATGCAGCATCAAACACTGAAAAACCAAGCTGAAGAAAAAACGTACAAATAAAGAAATGAAACCAATTTTGTTTAACCCTGTTATCCACTTTTGTAGGGTTAAACCACTACAATGTCAACCTGAAAATCACATTATATAGTGTGTTTACTGCCAACTTGTTCTGCTGAATATAACATTAAAATGATTGTTCATTTTCTAAGCACTCACCAGCAAGGCAAAGACGACAAGTAAGATAAATGCTGAACAAAGAGGAAAAGCCAGCCCAAAGCCCAAGTCTCCTATGGCCACATCACAATGTGAATCAATTTCATTCTCAAATTTTTAAGTGATCTTAAAATAATGAGATTTGAAATCATTTTCCATCAACAAAGAACTAAAGTTAATGCTAGGTAAAATTCAACATGCTATGATCCCCAGGAAGTGATCTCTGGGGACAGAGTTGCCCTCCCTCCAGCCTCAGCTGGCATCCTCCCCAATGCCAGGCTGGCTGTAGCTCTGACCAACCACCAGCTCAACAGGTCACAAACCCTGGCTGCCCTGAACCTTTCTCTGCACAGGACAGTCTGCACAGAGAACATTAGTGGCTCTGCTCTGAGTCAGAAATGATTCTGTTTCCCCTTCTTTTTTCCCAAAGCAGTTCTCAAATTAGAACCAAACAGAACTCATCTGTCACTTCTTTGTAATACCCCGTAGTAAAAAGTATAGTCCTTCAAAAATACCTGTGACTGCAGTTAGTGTAAATAAAAGCTACTTTTCTTAATATCTTATTCTTGATCCTTGAGATTTCAGACAGGGATTGTAACTACTGTTACCCTGAGAGGCACTCAGCCCAAGGGCCTCCTTCAAACCAAGTTTGCTAATGATGGAGAGGAACTGCTGGAATTTTAGAAAATGTCTACTCTATGAGCCGTGATAGAGACTGGTGTAAGGATACTTCTGGATGCCACTAAGTATCCCTATTAAAAGCTAGGTTACAAGAGGGCACCACTCCCCTTCATCTATGTCTGACATGACCCTAGTTGAACTGCCCCCAACAGAGAGTTTGAAGAAAAATGCAAAACGAAATCTCAGAATGCCAGTAAGGTTTTAGTCATTAGGTTATTAAATCAAAGCTTCAAAATTATTGTTATGTTTTTAATAATTATATATTAATATATTCAGAGAATCATAGAATGTTAGATTTAGAATTAGATCTAATTAAATCAAATTCTAAAAGACTTTTTCATATGCAGTTTCTGTTTCAAATTATAAAGAAATGGACTAACAGCGGAAGCTGAAATTTTTTTGTAAAATTAAAATTTTTGTAATGATAGTATTTCTTATAATGGAATTCACTCGTTACCTAATCCAAATGTGGACTTTTAGGATTTGCTAATTTTCGCAAAGAAATATTTTGGAAATTAGATTTATGACTAAAGCTATACTTATTAAAAGAAAATGTCACAAACCATTCAGAGTCAAAGGCATTCAAAAATTGCAAATATTGTTTCAAAATGATTCAGTGACCCAATACTTTAAAAATAAATGTAAGCTCCAAAAGATAAATTGAAGGGAAAAAGCTGAAACGACTGAACTCAGTTTCAATCCATGAGTTCCTAGAATTTTAGAGCTATCAGGAAATTGAACGTTTATTTTACAGATGAGAAACTGAGGCCGACACATTAGCCATGCGGCAGTGCCAAGATTGGAATTCAGGTATGATGAACTCCCTTCTGCGCTATGACAAACTGTCTTTCCTGTGCTGGTAAGGTATAGCTATTATATTTGCTACAGACACTTGTGTTCTTAGGCTGAGATGTGCAAAAAAGGAAGAATAACAAGACTAGACAGCATCAGCATACCTGGTGAGGATGAATACTTTCTGAAAACTACTAGGTAAGTCTATTCTTAGAGCGTGAAACATGAATAGTTTCGTTTTCTATGTTTACTATCTTTTTTATGGGGGAGGTGCATTGAGGAAAGGATAATGGTATCATCTTATTGCCTGTTCAGAAACTTCATTATTCTGGTGTGTTACTGAAATGAGAAGGCAATTTTATCTTTCTAGTTAATTCCATAGGAGCGTAACAAACAGGTTAAGAATCAAGTCCTTACTATTTAGTTAAGCCTCATACAAAAGACAAGCTGGCATCCTGTCCAGAAAACTCAAATCCACAACAGACAACTCACAACTGTTCAAAAAGCTGTTCAACCAACCCACCCCTCTGTTCTTTTCTCATCCTAGTCCACTCCATACCACTCCCAAGGCAAGACTTGGGAGTAAAAGCAAATGCTACACATCCAGGCACAAGCCAAAAAGATGTTTTGGGTAGGCAGACAATAGCACGTGAAGCTGCTAACATCACAAAAAGAATGCCAGCCAGTCATTATGTGCTTCCTGATGAAAGTACACATCCCCACCTGAAAAGTACTCTTGCCATGATATTGAATCTGAATTCAATTGGATCAAACCTCAGGATTTAACTACCAACTCACGAGCAATGAGACAGATAACCATATTAAATGACAGATGACATTTAGTCAGCAAGTCCAAAACACGGAAATTCAAAGGACACAAGAATCTGTTTCCTCAATAAATAAAAGAAAAACTGTGTGTTGCGTGATGTGTATACTGACTTGAACCAACTGGGAAAAGTGAACTGAAGGAAAAAAAATCACCTTATTAATCAATCAGAAAGGTTCCAACACTATTAACACATATTAAGTAGCTATGTGATGATGACATGGTGGTTCGTTCTGAAGCATCCATGGATAAGTATTATGGGTAAACTGATAATGCTTCAACCAAGTGATAAACGCCTACATAAACTCCTTCGTTATGATCTCTTCCCTATATCTGCTTTTCATAACAAGTGAAAACCACCACCAAAAGCCCGGGCTGTGACACTGTAGTGGCCCTACCAGCCGTGACCCCTTCCCTTCCCAGGCCGCAGATTTCCCTCCAGCTAAAATCTCAAATGAAAAGTCCCGATCTGTCCTAAGTCTCTGGGTGGCAGTACAGATCGTGGAAGAGACGACGGGGTGAGACGGGGCGGCCCGCGCCCGAAGACCGCGTAGGGGGCTCGGTTCCCGGAAGCTCTCCGCACCGTCGGGGCAGATGGCTCCGCGCGGGTGGGCTCCCTCCCCGTGTTCTCCGCTGCCCTCGTCCTAGGCCTTGCCTCGGCCTTTCTAGAAAAATGAACGTCAGCCCGTTCAGTCCTAGAGATGGGTTATGATAAACGTCGCCGGTGAGCTCCAGCACCAAAGCTAGTGGCCCAGACAGCCGCAACGTCGCCCCGACCCCGGGGTCGCCGCGGCTCCAGGTCTCGCGATAGTTACCTCCCGGGACTCAAGCCGCTGGAGGACACGCAGGCGCACTGGCGAATGTAAGCGGAGTACAGCGATTCGGCCTCCGCGTACTCGCCCTTGTTGAAATGAGCCTGGGCGAGTGCTAGGGTTGCGTGGCTCTCTTGCCCCTGCTGCCCTTCCATAGCAGGCAAGGCCTAGTTTTCGGTGTAGAATGGAGGTTGACCTCGGAGCGGCTAGAGGTGGCACCACAAAGCCACTTCCGCACCCTGGAATCTACCTTCACAGCCAACCTTGGCGCTAGGTTTGTGCCTTTTGGGGACCCGTCGTCTCGCGAGATAACCTTTCCGCTGCAGGCGGGCGTTTGCAGTGACCCCCTCCCCCCACCAGAGAGAGACGATTCTCTCTTTGGTACCGTTGCACCCGCTGCCTCGTTTACCAGAAGAGGCGCAGGTGCGTCGTCGCAAGCTGATTTCCACGTCCATTGTTGGATGCTGCGAGGCGCTGGCCGTCTATTACAGCGGACTGGGGGCCGGTGACGCTGGAGGTGGAGGAAGCCACGGTTCTGTTTCTGAATGACGAATTCGCCTGATGACTTCCTGTCTCTCCCCAGCCTTGCAGCGTCCCCACTTAGCAAAACCCCGCGTTTAGGGAGTTCTGAGTAGGCTTTGGCTACCCTGAGACGCTGAGTCGACGTTCCACGAGGTCTTTGTCCCAAGGTCCAAACTCCTCTGCCTTTTGATCCTCTAGAATTGTGCTACGATCAGTAGTATATTGTGTCGAAAGTTTGGGATTTTTGATGTTATATTCCCTGGCTATTTATGCCAAAGGGAAATCCAAATAGTAATTAAGTACATTACGTTTAATTCAAACTAAAATTAAGAGCAGTTGCTAGCCACGCTACCCGACATGTCTGCCGTGCGCCTTTTCGGGGTCCCTCAATTCTGTTTTAACTTCCCAAAGTACTTGAGCCCCTTTCCGCAGGAAAACTAAAGATGGAAAAAAATATGTTTGGAGCATGATACTTGCATGCGGAAGTCTTAACAGGACATAAATTGTGTGCTTTTTTGCTGCTTTCATTCGATTTTTAATGTTTTCCATTTACCACCACTGACAAAATACAAATACAGTGGATTAATGTTAAATAAAAACGCAGTAGTAGAAATTAAAAGATTGCATGACTACTGGTGTAAGCAAACGGATAGCTTAACAGAACAAAAGCCCGGAAACATGCCCCCAATAGGCTGTATTTTGTAAAAGACATGTAACGTTTGGAAAAAACAGATTATTCAAATGAGTGCTATTGGGAGGATTAGTTAACCATTTGGAGGAAAATACATTTACGCATTTCAGGTCCCAGTTGACATAATACATTCATTCTAGATGAATGAAAAGATTAAATAAAATAAGTTTTTTCAGTTCCAATTTTGCCTCTTGGGGCAATGTCATCTTTTCAATATGAAAAAAAAACACACACACACACAAAACAAATCTGAAGTATGGGATAGAACAAAACCAAGTGTGTGTTCTGGCGGGAAGCAACAAAAAAAGAAATGTTTGCAACAAGAGATGTTGCAAAAAAGATGGAGGAGGGTTCCCCTCTCCTCTGGGGAAGGACTCAAACACCGATGTGGCAGTATGCACCATTCCACATAAAGCCAGGGATATTCATCCTTTTGGCAGATAAGGTGGGGATGGCCAGGCATAGTGGCTCATGCCTATAATTCCAGCACTTGGGGAGGCCAAGGCAGGCGGATCACCTGAGGTCAGAAGTTCGAGAACAGCCTGGCCAACGTGGTGAAACCCTGTCTCTAATAAAAATCCAAAAAGCAGCTGGGCGTGGTGGCTGGTGCCTGTAATCACAGCTATTCAGGACGCTGAGGCATGAGAATCGCTTGAACCTGAGCGGCAGAGGTTGGCAGTGAGCCGAGATTGCTCCACTATACCCCAGCCTGGGAGACAGAGCAAGGCTCCATCTCAATAAACAAAAGAAAAAGAAAAGGTGGGCATTAGGAGGGTATTTCTCCTAAATTGGGGGAAAAAATGGACTCCAAGGGGAAAAAAAGTAGAAGTCTTAAATAGAGGCTGGCGGCCAGGCGCGGTGGCTCACGCCTATAATCCCAACACTTTGGGAGGCCGAGGCGGGTGGATCACGAGGTCAAGAGACCGAGACCATCCTGGTCAACATGGTAAAACCCTGTCTTTACTAAAAATACAAAAATTAGCTGGGCGTGGTGGCACACGCCTGTAGTCCCAGCTACTCGGGAGGCTGAGGTAGGAGAATTGCTTGAACCCAGGAGGTGGAGGTTGCGGTGAGCTGAGATCGCACCATTGCACTCCAGCCTGGGTAACAAGAGTGAAACTCCGTGTAAAAAAAAAAAAAAAAAAAAAAAAATAGAGGCTGGCTTTGCTAAGCCTAGAAAAGAAAGGGAAAAAATTATAAAGCATCTGATAGAATTAACTATAAAAAGGCAGAAAGAAATTTGCAACTTGCAAAAACAGTTGCCATCTTTAACGTGAACTTTCTTCTCAAATATTTGTTGAGCATATACTATATGCCACACAATTTTAAAATCTTGGAGTATGACAGTGAACAAAAAGGAGTCCCTGTCATCTCTGAACTTAGCCTAGTAGAAAGATACACACAACACACACACGCGCACACCAGATGGTGAGTAGTGCTATGGAGAAAAAACAATACAGGGAATAGAGAACAGGTGGTTTCTAATTCGTAACGGATGGATGGAGACTTCAAAGGAAAAGTGACATCCAAGTAAAAACCTGAAGCAAGTAAGGGAGCAAGCCATACTAATACGGGCAGAGGAAACAGCAAGTGTAAAAGCCCTGAGTAGAAGTTTTTTGAGACGGGGTCTCACTCTGTCACCTGGACTGGAGTGCAGTGGTGCAGGCTCACTGCAGCCTCAACCTCCCTCCAGGGCTCAGTGATTCTTCCACCTCCACCTCCTGAGATTAATCACTCCGTGCTAATTTTTATATTTTTTGTAGAGTTGGGTTTCCCCATGTTGCCCAGGCTAATCTCCAACTCCTGGGTTCAAGACATCTGCCCACCTCAGTCTCCCAAAGTGCTAGGACTACAGGCATGAGCCACCGCACCCGGCTAGAAGTTTTACTTTGTTCTGTTCAAGGAATAACAGGGATATTTATGTGCCTAAAAACCAGTGCTCTAAGAGGAAAATAGCAGAATATGTAATGGAAGTTGGGGATTTGGGAAGGGGCGTTCTAGACAGGAGTAAGATTCTTAATCTTTTTTGTGCTACGGCACCTTTGCAAGTGTGATGACACCATTTTAGTGTTTTGAGGTGTATTTAAAACAGGACTACAAAGGAAATTATATTTAAAAAACAGAATATTCACAGATTTAGGAAAAATATATGCTTTTATTAACTATCAAAAACAAGTGGCAAACAAAAAGCCAGCAGAGGAAGAAAATAGAAGATTAAAACATAGGTAAAACAAAATAGAAAAATAGAAACAAAACCATAAGTCGGTTCTTCAAAAAAGATTAAGAAAAATTAATACAACTTGAGCTAAATTGACTAAGATAAAAGACTCAGAATACTAAGATCAGACATGAAAATGGGAACATTACTATCAATTCTGCAGAAATAAAGAGGATTTAAGAGAGCACTATGAACAATTGTATACCAAAAAATGGGACAAATGAAAGGAACAAATGCCTAGAAACCAAAAACCTACCAAGATTGTATCATGAAGAAATAGAAAATCTGAATAGACCTGTGTATTATTCTGCTCTCATATTGCTTATAAAGACATACCCAAGACTGGGAGATTCATCTAAAAAGAAAAAAAAAGGGTTTAATGGACTCACAGTTCCATGTGGCTGGGGAGCCCTTACAATCAATCATGGCAGAAGGCAGAAGGCAAAAGGCATGTCTTACATGGCAGCAGGAAAGACAGAATGAGAGCCAAGTGAAAGGGGAAATCCCTTATAAAACCATCAGATCTTGTGAGACTTACTCACTACCACAAGAACAGTATGGGGAAACTGCCCCATGATTCAGTTATCTCGCACCAGCTCCCTCCCACAACGTGGAAATTATGGGAGCTACAATTCAAAATGAGATTTAGGTGAGGACACAGACAAACTATATCAACCTGTAACTTGTAAGGAGATTCAATGAGTAATTTAAAAATAACCTCTTGACAAAAGCCATAGACCCTGGCTTCACTGATGAATTCTACTAAATATTTAAGGAAGAACCAACACCAGTCCTTCTTAAACTCTTCCAAAACATTTAAAAAGAAAATGCTAAGTCAGTTTATAAAGCTAGCACTGCTATGACACGAAAGCCAAACACAGAAACTAGAAAAAAACTGCAGTTCAATATAGTTTATGACATTAATGCAAAAACTTCAACAAAATAGTAGCCAATTGAATTTAGCAGCATATTAAAAGGCTTATACACCATGACCTAGTGGAATTTATTCCTAGAATGCAAGGATAATTCAACACCTGAAAATCAACCAATGGCAGATGAGGAAAAAAATCAGTGTAATAAAGCACAGTAACAAGAGTGGAGGAAAAAAAACTGTATGATCACCGCCGTTTAGGTAGAGAAAGCATTTGACAAAAATTCAAAAGCCTTTCATGTCAAAAACACTCAAGCAGGGAATAGAAGGAGTCTACCTCAACATAATAAAAGACATATATAAAAAACACATAGTGAATATCATACTCAACAGTGAAAAACTGAAAGCTTATCCTACAAAATTGAACAAGGCAAGGATGCTCACTTTTGTACTCTTATTCAACATAGCACTGGAAGTTCTAGCCAGAGTAAACAAGAAAATAATTTTGAAAAAGTCATCCACATTGGAAAAGAAGAGGTAAAATTATCTCTGTTCATAAATGATATGCTCTTACATACAGATAACACTAAAAATTCCATTTTAAAAACAGTTATAACTAATGAATTTGGCAGGGTAGGGGGATATGAAATCACATAAAAATTAGTCACATTTTTATATACTAACAATGAAGCTATCCCAAAAGTAAGAAAACAATTCCAGCCACGCACGGTGGCTCACACCTGTAATCCCAGCACTTTGGGAGGCCAAGTTGGGTGGATCACTTGAGGTCAGGAGTTGAAGACTTGCCTGGCCAACATGGCAAAACCCCACATCTACTAAAAATACAAAAATTAGCCAGGTGTGGTGGAGGCACCTGTAATCCCAGCTACTCAGGAAGCTGAGGCGGGAGACTCGCTTGAGCCTGGGAGGTGGAGGTTGCAGTGAGCCAAGATCACACCTGATACCACTGCACTCCAGCCTAGGTGAGAGAGAGAGAGAGACTCAGTCAAATGAAAGGAGAGGGGAGAGAAGGTGGGGAGAGAGAGAGAGAGAGAGAGAAAGCAAGGAAGGAAGCAGAGAGAAAAG